AAACTGAGGAACACCAAGCATTTAGAGAAGCTTAGGCTCCCTGTTCAATGCTGGATTCACTAGTCCTATTGCCTACTTATTTAGCAGCAGAAAATATTTACTTCGGGAAAAAAAAAAAGACTTTTTTTTTTTGTTGGGAAGAACCTTCCTGAGTCAGAATCTGAACCACAAATCAAGATAGTTTTGCACATTTTTTCTTGAGAAACAAATGACATCACTTTCTGTTTCTTTATCAAGAAATACTGGGCTTTTTTTCCTAGTAACATGAGACTCGTTCACATGACTTTCAAGGAAAAAGAAGTCAGACAGGTGCTACCATTAAACATCTTTTTATTGTAGTCTTTAATGTACATGCAGAATAAAAAAAAAGTGTCAGTTATATCTGTAAGTGTATAACAACAATGTAAATGTCTTGGATCAGCAATGTATTTGGATTAGGGACTAGTAACTCTAAGTGAACAGACATCTTTTAGGATATAAAGTTTATATGGTAAATCAAGAAGGTTTTCTTCAGAGTGATTTTCCTCATAAAAAGATAAAGTATTTCTTGTTTACAATCTTGCTTGTTTTTAATACTGAAAAAATCTATAATAGTACACTCTTCATTATGTACATAGAAAAACATAAAACTATATCCATACCAGTGTCTGTTTTAAATGCAAACAATAGTAGTTAATAGCTTTGTAATTTTTTTGTGCACCCTCTCCCCTCTTCCCTCCTCCCCCCACCCCCATTAAAAAATGCAGCATTTCCTAAAGTTTTCAATGCTTTGGCAGAAATTGAACCGAAGGCACTCCTGTGTTAGGTAAAGCAATATGTGAAATATCAGCGCTAAATAAAAAAAGCTGTAGGTGTACCAGACAGCTCCATGCTCATCCCAAGGGTCAAACCTCGCACTCTCCGAGGTCAAGAACTGGTTTGCTGGAGATCCCAACTGGAGGAGGCTCAGGCCCCAGGTTGGTTTACAGTAAAGCTGATTAGCCTCACAACTATTTTTACAAATGCTTCATGCAAAGCGTATGAGGATGCAGAGGGCATCTTTGAAGACAGTACTACCACGAGGGCAAAAAGCTCCTGCAGGTCACAGCATCCGAACGTGTCGCAAAGGCTTTGCTTTCTCAGCCTTGCGCTTTGCGACGCGGTAGTTTCACACAACACCCTCCGTTTAAGACTTCCCGATGTTGCAGCTCAGCTAAAAACGAACAAACCAACCCACAAATATGAAATTTCTAAACCATCTCATGTGATGGATTAGTTCAGACTCAGCAAAGCGTCAATTCTCCTCAATCTGCGTGCTAGCGGCATGCTGATATCTGCTGATAGGGAAGCTTTGAAAGCTGATAGAAAAGTTTCTCTCAGGGGCAGCTCCTCCTTGGCCTCATGGGGCTTGTGTTTGGCACACCTTGCAACTCAGGGTCATCTCTGGCATGCCTGCGATATGTATTTATATGAATACTTTGCACAAAAACCAAGAAGCCTATGAGATAAGCGCCTAAATGCTCGCTAAGGGATGTGTCATAAGTCACAGTCAGGAAAACATTTCCATGATGACCAGTTTTAGCTCTCAGCTGCAGTTTGCTTCTGCAATCCTAGCAAAGGTTGAGAAACGACTGGATGCAAACTTCCAAGAGAGAATGAGACAGAAAGGCACCGACACGAAGCTTTTTATGCACATGAAAAGCTTTCATGTGTCAATGTGTCCAACCTGATAAAGTGTTAGATTTTTGGGAAGTATATTAGTTCAGTAATTTGTTTACTTAACTAATTTATTCATAGTGCACCATATCTGACCATGACTGTAAATAGCTGCAGTCAGCTGACAATCCAATTGAAAAAGAACATTCTGCTAAAACCTGCCAGCTGGTCACGTTCATTCTGCTGCAATAGCTCTGTGCTCTTTGGCCACAATAAATGAATGGCTTTACAGTGTTGGAAAGCATTTTTGTCGTTCTTCAGTATCACTGTGGATTTATCTCATAAGGAATAAAGGGTGAGATAAAAAGGCATCCAACACTTCAGTCTCTGAATTGAACAGCCAGCAGAATGATATGAAGCTGGCATGGAAGAATAGCCATTTAAGGTCAGTTTGAAATGCAGACTGAAGGAAAAAAAAAGAAAAAAGAAAAAAAAAAAAAGAAGCAAGTAGTCCAGTAAGAATAAACAGTACAAAAAGAAACTGAGCAAGTGATTCTTTGTTTTGGGCCAGTATATTCACCACCAGTTGCTGTGTGTTGCTTTGGGAAACATGAAACTGGCACCAAAACACTCCAAACAACACAAACCCCCCACCCCCTTCCTAGGCTGATGGCTCTCCTTGAAATGTCCCTCAGATCTCTTTCTGTACTGTGGCTCGGATGCTGCTGAACACTTTGCCCATGGCCTCAAACAGTGGGTCGCAGAATGTGTGGATGCAGATCGAATAGACACGGCTAATGCACTGGATCTCAATCAGGTAGCTCCTTATGCACGGCACCACTGCCCAGATGTGCAGGAACGACAAAATGGCAAAGTAGATGCCCCATATGAGAGCCATAGGAATGCCAAAGATAGCTGACAGTAAACGATAAAACCAGTATTTCGTTACAGTGAAGGTGGTAAAACTGGCCTTCCAAATCCCATCAAAGCTGTGTGTTCCCTCTGGCTCAGCAATCACATCTTCAAAATCAATCTGCAGCAAAGAACACAAAGTCAGGTCAGTCACATGTTCACATCAAGGGTGGAATCCAGAAACTGTTTTCCTGGAGAGCAATGGCCCCCTGCACAAAATACTGAAGCACGTACTTTCTACATCCCAACATGATTCGACCCATTTTAACACATCATTTAAGCCATGAATCTTTTCAGGGACTGTCTTCTTCCAGTAACTATCAGGAAGCCTCGATGATTAGCTCAAAATTAGATGTCTAACTTCTAGATGGAGATGAACTGTCCACAATATATTTTCCACATCTCCTACAGCCCTAAGGGTATGGAGTGCCCTTGAAGTCTACTTAAGGGACAAACCAGGTGGACAGAATCATCACGCTTTCATTGCCTAACTTGAACCATTTCACATCTTTACAAATGGAATAAATGCAGTCATTACCCTGACTTTTAACACACCCCAAGCATGCACCAATAAAATGTGTTTTATTTCCCTGAATTATCCCATCTTTCCTTGTATAGCACTGCTGAATTTTGACAGTGAATAAATGGTGAGGCTAGCTATTTAAATATGTACTTTGAGACAGGCATAGATAGTCATTAGTAGACTGAAAAATAAAATGCTGGATTTAGATCTGCATCAGGTGGAGCTCCTCCTTGGTCTGAAAGGGTTAGGGAGCTCTTCCATCTTATTAAACATAGGGAGGCTCTTCACACTAGGACTGCTTTGTTCCAGCCTATCCTGTTTACGTGATAACACTCTGTTCATGAAAGACGTGGTGAGGCTAACATACTAATATTTAGAAGGAACACACTCTTCCACATATTTCATAGTTTTGACTACTCATGAATTGTTCAAAAGGTCACCTAAGGAAGCAGTGCATTTCAACAGGCATATTTTATTGCTCTCTGTTGAAATACTGAGCTATTCAGGAAGCCTAATTGTCATAACATTTCTATTAGAAAACTAACAGAATTGCGATGATGGTTCAGCTCCATGTCACACAAACATGTGTTTGATATAACCTACAATACAGGATATTTAATTTAGTTAGCACGACCAATTGTATAGGTAAAGCACTCAACAGGAAAGACAACATCACAAGACCATGCCTCTGCATGAAAATAAATGACTTCTTAAATCAGATGAAAGAAAAAAAGAAATTGCGTTCCTGGGACTGGATCCCAAAGTGAGATGCTGCTGCTGCCATAAGTGAAGATTTACAGGAGCAGGGTAAGTATGACATGGGCCAGCGGCCTCAGAAACTCAGGCAACACTACCTGTTCACGCAGGAGGTGAATGTACATACACTCAGTGTAAGTATTGTTTATACTGTAGGAAAATGCTCACAATCACTTCTTTCAATCTAAAATACACATAACTCCTCCCTCTCTCCTGTTGAGTCTTCAATCACCTCCAAACAGAGGACACCAACTCACTACAAAGGGAAAAATACTATAAAACCACTAGACTTTACAGTTTCTTCAACAAAAAAAGGATAATTCTGAAATTTCTGAATCAGCTGTGACATCAAATATCTTCAATGCCTAACATCTAGATGGCTTAATTCAACATATTGCTGGGCCTAAACATCACCCTCTGACTGCTCTGTGCCATGCCACCATCACCCTCTGCCAGTGCTTCTCTCTAGACATCATATAATGCAAACTATATACCTTCTCCTCTTTATCTGCTACTCCAAACTAGGCTCTAGTGATCTGAAAGTGATCTGTGATTCTTTGGGATGGGAATTCATCAGCAGCAGCACCACCACATCTAGAGGCAGCATTTGGGTTGAAATTCTGCCTCCACAGAAACCAATGGCAGAATTTGCGTTGCCTACATACCCAACGAACACACCTCAGCGCCGTGTGTTTGTCCATAAGGACATGCAGAGCCAAAAGTCTGTCTGCACTTTCTGAAACTGAACAGCATAATTTCAAATAATAGCTTCAAAAAGAGAAAATGAAAAGACTTTGAGTCACAGCTCTCTTCTGCAATAGTTCTACAGGTATGAAATAACCTCTGCTTCCGTAGGTTGTGCGCATTAATTTTTGATACAAATCTTAGAAAACAGTTTCCTTGAAATCAGTGTCTAAAGACAGCATAGAAAGTACATTACATTCACTGCTGAGTTCACAGGAAACTGGAAATTATTTGGCCTCTGTAATTTCAGCGCGTGCAACACTGAAGCTCTGGTGGAAAAAACTAATTCTGGGAAGGGCACCACAGGCAACAATATGCTCTCTGTGTTCATTACGGAGGTATTAGATATAAAAGTTCATGTCTGGGCACTAAACAAAAAATTAGCTTTATGAAGTACATTGGCCACAAAATAATGATATGACTCAGTCATTAAAAGTTAGCTGCAGACTAGTAAGACAGAGCAAGAAACTTTCCTGGATGCATTGTGATATTTTTACCGAATGAAGCAATCAGATGTCCTTGCATCTATCATGGGATTTTAGAACTGTGTGATGAAAGAAAGAAGGTTGTAGATGTATACATTGGGAAGACAATAATATGTCCTGATGATGGCATCTAATTGACATATCTATTCACACACACAAAAAAATTAAGATTGTTTCAAGTTCTGCATATTGTTCACTGAAATCAATCTTATTCATCTGACTACACATGTTGGAAAACAGTACACCTGAGTTTATTGGGCAAGTATATTTCCTTTTTGGAATACACAAGCAAGCATGTTTATATTATCTGTTTCTTCAGCTACTCAAAAGCAAGCTTGTCCTTGTAGCCCATATTCCATGGTAGCTCATTTTCAAAGTGAATTGGTATTATTGGCTTATTATCAACACTTGTCTCGAAATCAGATAATAAAGATACGCAGATGATGGCAAAAGCCAAAGTGATTATAGAAACAAAAAGAAGTTGCTTATCAAAAACGATACCACATGAAGACTACACGGCTGAGCATAACCCTCTTACTCTAAAACTTCTGGCAGTGTATTGCATGCTTCCCACCAGTTGATGTTGCGATCCTTGGCAGAGCCAGATTGTGCACATGGGCACCATCCAGCAGTTCAGTGCAGTGAGGACTATTCAGAGTCATGCCTAAAGACATTTTATTCAGTTCAGTTGTGACAGAGTCTATCCTGTATTTTTTTTCAACTG